AGATGTGTATAAGAGACAACGGTAAAGCAATGCGGATTGCGGAAGTTGAAAATTTTATGAAATGACATGTTTGCGAAGTGCAAACCGCGATTTTTTAATCAAACAAAAATTTATGACATTCGAGCCGCGAGATTTCATACCTACTGAAATTATATGATATTAGAGCCGCGATATTTCAGACAAAAATAGGACTTTTCCAGACTAGGAAGGTGGTGTAACGCGGTGGTAGGCATAGTGGCAAACCACAGCTTTTTTAGAATCAGTTCATTTTTAATTTCCTCATTTACCCAAGATTTAAACCAATTTCTTAAGTATGATGATGCTAGTATCCAGGATACTTTACTGGTCTACTTATAGGACTCAAAAATGAACTTGAGGGAGAGTCTAAAAAACTCTCTGCTTTGCCACTATGCATGATACTTTACTGGTCTACTTATAGGACTCAAAAATGAACTTGAGGGAGAGTCTAAAAAACTCTCTGCTTTGCCACTATGGTGGTAGGGTTGGTATTTCGATACGTTTTCTTATATTGACATGAGAATATATTACCTATACAGAATTCCACTTCCACACTGCTGAGTGACGGTGAGGCTAGGTAGCCTAACTTCTCTTATAAAAATAAAAAGTAGTTATAAACTCTAAATAAGTTTTGATTTTATAAATTATTGATTGAATTTTGAAATTATCATTATCAAATTTTTGAAACAAAGTTAAGCAGAGGAAATAATTGGTTTCTACTTACAAAATAACATTTGAAGCGCTTATCGAAGCAGAGCGGCTACTATCATTAAATGCAGTTGAGGCATAACAAAGGAATGTTAATACTGTCAAAGTGCTAAGCGAAAATGCAGCGAGGGCATTAATCCTGTTAAGAGCACTATACATTTTTGTTTATTTCTAGTTTCTTGATATTATTGAACTATTTCAATACATGGGCGAGACTGTGAATACACGTCAAATTGTTTCTAGGGAATTCCACTATAAATTTTACCCTCAAATTCGTCTAAAACACCTCACAGAATAAAGTTTGCTCAGCGGATTCATCGAACGGTCTGCAGAGAGATATAATATATTTTGGATGATAACAAGATATTATTTCAACCATGAATAACAAGAATTTTCGACCAAAAGTGGCCAATTTAAATTTTATTCCAATACTTATTCTATGAATTTTTTATTAATGATCATATTGGTAATAAAATTACTTCCCTACATTTCATTTATCTAATAAATAACTGAAACCCGAGCACAAATTTGACAAAATATATTTTGTGTTTCAAATGCGAAATTTAAGTGCATTCAAAGTTTGCTCTATTGTAATAATTGTGTCACACGTTCTATTTCACGTCTCGGACAAATTTACGGCTAGACTCTCGGCCGGTCTCACTGCCAATCTTCAAATTCGATGATCAAGGAACCTTTCTAGCCGCTTCTGCGGCTCGTAATAGCCGTGGATGAAAATGACTTGCTGGCAATCAATTCACGATAACCGACAACTTAGATCCCTACCTAGTTGTTCATAGTATGTTCGATTAGACGCCGAATGATATTCAGAATTTATTTAGCAAAGTCACCATTTGCAGTTGCTATTTGATATATTATTTGATTTTCCGTTGGGAATTAGTCAATTAATAAAGATTGACACGATGAAATTATCTCCAATAGATTCTTTTAGAATTTCATTGTGATTGATATAAACAGAAAATTTTTAATGATATTCAACGCGACTTGCAAAAATGACAAGCTACCGTCTCACGCAAAGTTACTTGGAGACATTGGACGATGATTCAGTAATATCACTAATATGTTACAATTCGACAGTCTTCACAATGTCAAATGTTATACTGTTAAATCCCTCAAACTTGAAGTGAAGCACTGCTTGAACGTCATGTAGTAAAAGTATTTCCTCTGACTTTTTGGAAGTTACCATAAGAACACTACCAACACCATCATTAAAATATCATGCGAAAAAATACTCATCTACGTTACACTGCTCAGCAGTTTTGGGCTCCCCTCTTGTACCAATCACGAATATAGAATAATAAACGCTTTCAAAAATATACATGACTCTACCATAATGTACAGCAAAAAGGAATCTGTATCCCACAGCTGTGAACTATAAGTATTTATTATTAAGATACCGTGTCCAAAGGGTCATTTTTATCTTCTCATTAGTCATGTATCGGTGACATCTTTAGTGCGGGGAAAAAGATCGGCCCAATCTTTTACCTCGATTCACATTATACTATGCCTGTTTCATCACCCTAGGCATAATATTGAACTAATCATTGTAAATTACTGCTTGTCTCTGTAACTCATTTACTACTTACGTCCGTCATCTGTCCGAGATTGGAAGGAGGTCATGGTAGTTGGAGCATTGGCGATGGACTAACCAGTTAGACGACTCGCTGATGCTCAGGTTGACTCGTCTGCCGGCCTGCAGTCATTGCAAACCCAGCTGTGGGCTCGGCTGGACGTAGTTCTTGCAACCTCCACGGACAAGACTTTCAAAAATCATTAGAACATTGTGAATCCAACATTGTAGGTGATTATTTCATACCTTGAAAACAATTTTGTCTACCTCATTTGTAGGAGCGTCAAGAAAGACTAAATTAAAACTTGTGCTTTTTTAAGATTGCATATCTGGCCCGCAGTGATTATAAAACGAAAATCTTTACCAAGAAAATTTGAACAATTATTATATGGTCTAAAGTTCTTTCAACAGAAGATTGTTTCTGTGTGAACCAAGTGGACCAAACAGTGATAGAAGTGATATAATAAATTGGAACTCGATCTGACTGTAAAATAGGGCAGTGGGTACATACCGCTAGCAACAGTTTTTATGACTCGTGCAGCTGGGACTTCTAATATTCGTATTTTTAATGCAACTGTATCTATATTGCCGGTACCACTGTCGCTTGCAAAGTGTGCCTTTTGTACGAGTTAAACATGATATTTCAGGAGATTGGAATGATATTTCCATTACAATTTACCATATAAATTCTTCGCAACACTGACTGCACTTTAGGCTGGCTGCCAATTTAACTACGTAGTTCGATTGATTTCGAAAAAAAGATTGACTTTCAGCGAGTACTTTGTGGACGGATACCAGTGTTTAAGTGGCTTTGAAGAAATAATATCATCATTATATTTTGATATCCAACCAATTTAATTAGAAAGTGGCGCAATCGATTGAGCTAAGGATATATTTAAGTAATGATCAATTACTCAAAAGGTGACAGTCATTATCTACAGCAGATAACTGTAATAAACGACATAATTCTGATTTTAAATATATTTTGTTGATACTAAACAAATTTCTAATCTGTTGTGATGTTACTAGAACAGATGCATTTTCATTTCTGTTGAGATGGAAGCTATATCCGGTGGAAGTCTAGTAGCTACTTCAAACTTTCGTCAGTCGTGAAAAGATACAGTCAAATGACACGATTTTAGATATTCTGTGAACAAGGCACGAAAAGGAAAAGAATCGGCGACAGGCCACATCAGACCTACACTGCAGCGCCGAGATCACTATGTTATGTTTTGTTATGTTATTTGTACTGTGGCGTTCTGGTTGGACTTTTAGTTACAATGTTGACTCCTGTATAATTAAACATTTTGATAGTCAGTCTTTTCAACTAATGTTCTTGATAAAAACTGTTGCAACATTGTATTTCCGTCTTAGATTCTGCAAAAAAAACATTAATTTGTTATTTTCATTTTTTAAAGTTCTATTTCATTGAGTTAGGAATCATTTTCGTCGACTATAACAGACTCTTCAAATAAAAAAAATAACAATATATGAATTCCAGTAACTGACATTCAGTCGCATGAAAAGAAAAGTCGCCAGAAAATGGATACACGATTCTACTGTGTTGATTTGCTGCGTCATTCCCGTTTGTACGTCGAGGAAGTTCCGTTAAATAAAAAAATTCGATGACCAATAAAATGATGCATCAATGACACGCCGTTCAATAGAGATTGGACAATTAATCTATTTACGTACTATACGAGGATGAATTCCTCAATGGATGCTTCGGTGATGCAGCCATGTTCCGAAGAGAGTATGCCTGAAACTTTAGGTTTAGTGTGTTGAATGACAAACGATGTCATGTATTTGCAAGAATTCACATTCAATGATAAATAATTTAGTAAATTTTCTGCATTATATTACTAATGACGAGATGGTCCATTCAGTGTATGATGATATAATTAAAAACCCAAAAAAAACATCTCATTTTATAAATTGAATATCTGTAGCCAGATTAAAAACTTCGTGATCAAATTGAAGCTTTTCATAAATTCTCAATTGTGAAATGAAGATAATTAGTAACAAGTTATGAGTTGCACGCGTCAATAACGAAGAAAGTTAATTATAAATCGTCAGATCAATAGGACAAAGATATTAAATATCACAATCAGTCAATCTCTTGATAATTTAGGGCAAAAATATGCGGAAAAATATATACACTTAATTGTAATCAAAACTCGATTCAGAAACCAAATAAGTTGTTTGTTATAGAATAACATTTTTTTCCACAGAGGAACATCTGAAGTGGTGTTGAGAAATGATAAAGCTTTGAAAGCCTACAATGTGAAGGAGTTTAGATTTAATTTCCGATTATTGAATTTTTGCAGCTGTCACTTCGGAGCAAATTTTTCCTTTACATCTCCTCTGCCCCGAGCTGAGCAGTCATGCATGTCGTCAGCGTTGGTGAGTGACCAACTGTTTGTAATGCATTTATTGGTGTTTTCACTGCCCTCCACTTAACAATGTATTTTCTCTGTCGGTTAATTGTCGAATAACCTTTAAATTAATTATTACCGTGAATGATGGTATGATAACTTTTTTCTCTTTCACTTTGCAAAGGCTTCACGACAATTTATTGCAAATCGTGTTCCCCAGCATTTAATTGACTAAAATATCAGGAACTTTCATTTGTACCAATATAGTCAAATTGATTTTTCTTACGTATGTGAAAATTAAAATTTCCCTAACGATGACGTACTACTTTCGCATAAAGCCCAATCACAAAAGTTGACCAAACCAGTTACGTATTTTCCATCAAGGCATGTAACGTCCGAGAGTAAAATTTCTCCGTACGTCGATGGCCAAACGATCGTAATATTTGAAGAAAGTCGCTCTCTTCGCACGAAAGTCAGTGACTGGGCACAAAAACCTGCCTTCAAATCGAAGAATATTCCTGTATTTTTTCTCTTTGAAAAGTGGACTGCATCCATACGGGCAAAAAAACACAGAAAGCGGTTCAAGGAAGCGTGTTAGATGCGTAGAGTCAACCGCCCTCGGCTAGCTGCTTCACACTACCGGGTTCCAGAGATCTTTAATCTCAAACTTGCAGATCTTGATTCTCAAGTTTCAAGATCTTATTTCTTTTTAAAAAATCTTCATAGTAAAACTTGATTTTTATCCTCCGTTCTGCAAATTTATCTAAAAAGCATTCGTTTCGTAATAACTTTTACATGAATTTTGCGATTGTGAAGACTCCGGGGATTTCGACAAATCATAATACAAAACATGAAATGCATAGAAACGGCAAGATGGGGTCTCTTATAATCTATCTCCTTCAATTTACGTGCTAAACATCGAGAAACACAGCATTCGATTTGTAACAAAAATATCTAATGATTCTAAAAGCCTTTTTTAGATTTTTCCTATAATTGAAATTTTCCTATAATTTCAATTATAGGAAAAATCCTATAATTTTTTCCTATAATTGAAATCCTATAATTTTTCAATTTTTCTCACAATTTTCCACATTATCCCCTAGTTTTTTTCAATTTATAATCCAAACCATTTACAAATCAGAAAAGAAGGTTGCGTAATGATATTTAACTTAGACTATTATTTATGATTGGTCAAATTATAATATCAATCCCTAAATTGTTTAATTACATGAACTGACCTGCACATTTGAATTATATAAGACATTAATAATAATTCAATGTTAGTATAGTATGGAAAACAGAGAAGTAATTATTTTCAAAATCCCCGTAGGTGCGATGCCCGTTGCAGTTGAAAAAGTTGTTCAGTTAAAGTAACAGAAACTTGACGAACAAAGTCATAACATTTTATGGCATGTTTGAGTAGAAGTATTACTTTCACAGGCCATCCGCATTACCACAAGCTGTGAGAAATTATAGTATAGCGTCAGCCCAATTACTCCTTTATTACTTTTTCCCGCAGGATCAGAAATATTTTTATTACTTTTCATCTGTGCTTTTTCATCTCATTCGAAAAAAATGTTTAAAATGAGATTTGATTTATTGCGGAATTTATACTGATTTTATTAAACTATTGCTGTACTATATTGGTTGACTATTCTAGGATTTAATTGTATAAAAAATTCAACCGACCGATCTACTGGTGAAAATAATTTGAAGTTCTAACAGTGTACTGTAAATGATTGTACTCCAGAATTATCACTTCTATTTATATATCATATTGAATTTAAATGATCAAAAGAGCAATGACTTTAATTGTCAGCTAATAAAAGCTATCTTTTTTTTGCCTTGCTTCCTGACTGTTGCAGCCAAATTTTTTTCGGTTCACTTTCGCTTCTTTTTCGACGCTTTTTTTGGGGGTATTTGCGACCCACGGATGCATCTTTGGTTTCATTTTTCTTTCGAGCTTTGCTTCACCGTCAATGGTTGCCGGTTTTTCGCCGAAAATAAAAAATTATATATTAGATATAATATAAATACAATCAATAAATCTAACTCTCTGTGGAGGTTTGCGGCAATGTTTGTTCCTCCGAGATTGTGACCGCCTCAAAAATGAAATAATGAAACTTGACTTTTGAATACCGTACTATATTCGACTAATTAACACCACTAAAACTAAGTTGAGCAAAATTGATACAAAAAAATATTTTATTTACAACATTAATTTTGGTGTTATTAATACTTTATCTATATTTAACTTAGTGTTATTGAATATCTTAATTATTATACTTAGTTACATGTGTGACAGTAGCGTCGCATTTCGGGCAGTTGCATCATACGTTAAGAATTTACGAATATTAGACAAACAACGTTGTATGGTACATTTCACTTGTCAACGTTTACTCACGTCAAAACTATGCGCTGTTCACACAGGTACGAGATATACATACCTCCGATGTAATTCATAATTTCAACGAATAAAAACCAATTCACAAGGAATTTAAAAGCAAAGAAAACGCCAAGAAAATTCACCATATCGATATTGAAAACGTTTCGGAGTCCAGCTCCATCATCAGTTCGACTAAACTAAAAATGAATAAAATCACTTTAAAAGTCAAAATTCAAAGACAGACATAAAACCTAAACAAGACCTAACATTATATCGAAATAAACAGGACTAGTTATGAACAACTTAGTCCTAGGGATACGACAAGAATATAAAATCCTAGCGATTTACTATTTCCAGATTTAGTCGAACTGATGATGGAGCTGGACTCCGAAACGTTTTCAATATCGATATGGTGAATTTTCTTGGCGTTTTCTTTGCTTTTAAATTCCTTGTGAACTTGCGATATAAGCAGACTAATGATATAAGTACTTAAAAACCAATTCATAGTGAATAAAAATCAAATTTAAGTTTTCAATCGATCTGATGAGCGAATTTCTTCACGATATTCACCATGTAATGTATATAGTTTGTGAAAAACTAGAATACTTTCATTACACGTAAAATTGTCAAGTTGCAAGAGGCGAAAATATCGGTTTCACTTGATAAGCCAGAGTAGGCTGTTCTTTATAGCGCGCTTTCATGATCGTGATCGTTTACAGATTTTGGGCACCTCGCGTACGCCTTACGTCAATAAAAAGCTCTAATGTGAAAGTCTTGCAGCTTCAGGGAGAGTTAATGTGCTTCTTGCTGAGGATAAATTGTCTCGAGTCAGAGTTTTTTGTCTTTTAGAGATTAAAAATGAAATCGTTCAATAGCGCCGCTTCTCTAAACGTTTAGGGTGATCAAATATTATATATTTTTTTCTAAGGATGTTGGAATTTTCAAATTTTTATTTAGAGAATCATTATCCTAATGAAATATTGATACTTTTAACAGAATACATTTTTACGCTCAGCTTTCAATATTTCCGCCCTGCCTTCACTCTATTAACTTGTACCTATCATTCGTACATATCTGAACTCATACCTACCATTCCTACATACAATATAACATAAATAGGAAAAATTTTGCACATTTTTTCACCTTTTGCACAACGATTTTTGATTACCCAGTAAATATAGCCTATGATTATATGCAGTAACATTGTGACCAAATCGACCAAATGTTCAGGAAAAAAGTTAAGTGGAACGGTTTTAGTCATAGTACTCAACCCTTATTAATATTACTCAAATGTTAACTGCGATACTGACAAAAAAGTTAAACTTTCCGTTATCTCTGAAGCGCACGTACGTCACGAACTTACTTCATCCACAGCTGAAGGTGATCTTAAAAGTCGAAAGCCGAGCAGTTCTTTGTCGCTGATGTCTTAAGGCGACGATGCTCAGAACTTCAGCAGGCAAAAAATATTTTTGGAATGTCTTTTTGTGTGCACTGGAAGACCGAACCTGCAGCTTTTATTTCGCTTTAGGGACATACGACAGTTAATGGAACGGATTTTGCCTGTGAACGAAGAAAATTGATGCATATGGTATGCTTCATGCATATTTTCTCTCTTGAATTATCTACATGAGTTTCAGCATAAAGAATGTTCTGAAATTTTAATGGGTTCTACCTGAATGAGAAAGTTATTTATGGTTAAAGAGACAGGCATTTATTACGCAAATAAATGATTCTTAAATTTTGGTCGTATTTAGTTGAAATGGTGCTAGTGTTGCTCCGTTTTTAGTTATTTAAAAATATATTCAATTCGTGGCATATACGTATACCTAAAACGTATATAATGAAAAAAAATCTTTCATATTTTAAAGTTCGTAAATGTAACGCTGAAAATCCAAAAATTTCACATATCATAGTAGAAACGTTTAGTAAAATCTTCAAGTCTTTCGAATTTATTTACGATTGAAAAAATACAAACTGAATAATCTACACTCATCAATCAATTATACACACATGGAGAATTTAATGAACAAAAACTTAAAGTAAACAAGCTTCTGTATACTGAAATGCGCTACATACTTCATGATTATACAACGCCAGAGTCTGGAAGTCATCAAAAAACGAACTTGCTTAATTTTCGTGCATTGATTTTTCATAATTAAGAAGAATTCATTAATTCAGTGTTATCGTCTAACAATTTTAATTGAACTGAATGTCTAATACTGAAAAGTAATGCCGACATGTATTGAAATTTTATTTCCTGTTTTTGCTCTATGATTATCAATTTTGACGGACAGTTTTATAGTGTCGAAAAAAACGGACAAAGATAGTCCTTGTGCAAAAATTGGAAGCATCTGCAAGTCATTCAGCTAGAAGCTGTTATTGTTTTCAGTCCAGAATAAACTTTAAACGGTAGTGTTAATATCTAGGGAGCTCAAGGGGAACACAATTTGGTTAAATTTAACTTGAAAATAATCCAATTCAACTCCCGTATTCTATTTATTCTTGTATTGCCTTTATATTTTAATTTGCTCAAGGCAATAGTTCTCTTAAGCATTCATTAAGTTCATTAAGCATTTGCTTAATATTATAGTTCTCTTTAATTTAGTTCTATAGTTCTATCTAATTTACTCGTTTTGTGCTAT